TGCTGGCACTGAGTAAAAGTTTTAGCCTGACAAGCAGTGTAGTAATGGCAATTACTGTTAGGATTATTTGTGCAGTTCAATAAGATGTTGATATCAGGATTGATATTTGCATTCATAAGAGTAGAGGAGGATGTAAATAAGTACCTACAGAAGGCACGTATAGAAATAACTGTTGCAATTATCAAAAAATAAAAAAAATATTTATTGTTAACCACTAACAAATATGAATATATGGACTAAAATATTTAGTTTAAAGCTAAAAATAAAGGAGCTACTGAATATAAAAGTAAAACAGTGAAAATAAAACACTTTAGCACCTTATGTTTCTAAGTAACTAGGAATGAATTACTGTTATTCACTAACAAATATGAAAATATGAGTTAAGATTAATATTAACCATTTCAGGGTCCAGAGGCCCAAATTCAAAGTGCGCACCAGGGTCCAAGAATTTAAAAAAAAAATTTTGCTATTTTTTTTCTTATGAAATGGTAGAGAATCTTTTTCTGAAGGTAATAAAACAAAAAGTACGAAATTTGATGGAAAATTTACGAAATTATGCTCTCGCGAATTTTGATGTGTCAGCGATATTTACGAATTAGCGATTTTCCCGACTTTGACTCCCATTTTAGGCCAATTACATTATTCCAGTCAACCAAATTCTTAGCTATTTCACTAGTATTACTGTACTTCTATTCTATCGATTGAGCACAAGAAATCGCCAAGTCAACTGTTTCAACTGCAAAATAAAGTGATCGGAAATTGGAAATTTTGGGCCCAAATTTTTAACACAAAGTTCAAAATATTCCAATTTAAAAAATAGGGTCCAGAATAAACAATGTAGGTATTCCTACCACTAAACAAACATTTCTTCTGTTCATTTGTTATGTTTTGAGGCTTTACAAAATGAATTCCTTTTTTGATTTTTTATTCACATAAGGAACTTTTATTCAAACCAAAAAATAGAAGATTTACTCTTATGCAATATTGTAATAATTGTATAAATGTCTCACCACATTTGGGGAATGCATATTGGGACCACCACTGGTGTGTATTAGACGTGTGAGGTCGTTTGTTTACTCTTGAACATAAAGCAAAAATTTAACTTTTCCCGCTACTTTGAGCTCATTTTTCAAGCCATTTCCATGCTAAAACAAATCAAAATCATCTCTATTTCTGTAATATGCCCTTCATTCTATCAAATGAGAATAAGAAACGAAAAATAAAACTATAAAAAAACATACGAAAAACACTGCAAAGTCGCTGTTTTAGTCGAAAATCACGGTCTCAGTTTTTTTGTATTATACACTGGATTTGTTTTATGTGGTGCACACATATCACATATATGTATTCTCTCTATCTGGCCCAAATTTACCACTCACAGCTTATCAGAGTGAGCTGAGCTCATAGTTTAGATCTACGGTTTGGACCTGAACGTAAAGCCGTAGATCTTCGGCACGGACCCTGAAAGGGATAAAGGTAAAAATGTAAGAGGCACTGGGGATAAGACAGTGAGAAGTTAACTCTTGAGCACTTGGTTTGTACCTTTTTTTTTTTCCAGCACCTAATGATGCTAAGTAACATACACTTTTAAGAATATGGGTCTTACATATCATTAGTGTAATTATACAAGCCCTTTTCAATTCCTTGACATGCTTAAATCTGTCTGCTCTCTTCCATGATGGTTCCACCTTAAGCAGATCACTTATTAAATTTTTTTAATGAAATCAATATATTATACTTAATGTGGCTTCCTTTTGCCCATTAGCCTTACCTTTGCTGTGTAGCTCTGAATGACCCACATGAGTTTAGTTCTCTGTTAACATAAAATAATAATGTAATAATTTAGGAGGTGCATAGTTACTAAAAGTATTACCCAGAGGTTTAAAGAGGGGTTTGTTGAGTTTTTTTTTTTGACATTTAGAGAGGATGGGGGGTAATATGATGACTTGGAGGGCGTAAAATCTGGTAGTGGAGGGAAGGCAGGGGGGGGGTCGTCCTGGGAAAGGCAAAGGGAAAGGGGGATAAAGGGAGGCCTTTGTGTGAGGATTTGGTATCCGTAATGTTAAACGTGTTAAATGGGAGTAGTTGAGGAAAATTTTTTTTTGGGACTTTATAGCTGTTGGAGGTGAGCAAGGTTTTTGTGAAGGGATTCAGGAAACCCATTTTAGCCAGACTTGTTTGCGGGAGTAGGAAACAGTGCCTGTGCTCAAAAGGGGGGGTGGGGATATTTAAGTTTGGGTGGCTTAAAAACTACCTTTTTGTACACCTCTGAAAGACAGTGATAGGGGAATGTGGTGAAATTTTTTTTTTCAGGGTCCCCTCCCTTGGTGGGAGAATTGTGTGAACGACCACATATATGAATGTACGTGGCCCCCGTTTTCAAAATTAACCTTTCCCCGGGCCGTTACTATAAACAAAAATTTACGATTTACGAATCAATTTTCCAGATAAGAAATAATGAAATACAATTAATCCGTTCCTGACACCCCAGAAATTTTAAAACAAAAAAAATTTTTAAAAAAAAATATACATTGTACATAAACAATACAAGGGGGAAATGATAAATGAAAATTAACAGCTTAACCTTACCTTTTTTGGAGTTTCTTCTTATTTTGGGGAGACGGGAGGAGGAGAGAGAGGGGTTTGTTTTTGTTTGAAGGGGGAACCCCTTCCATAAACACCTCAGGTCCCCATTTGTTTTCTGGGGTTGCTTCTCTTCTCTGTTTTTTTAAGCCACTAGGCCACCTTGAGAGTCACGGGAGTCCGTCTCCAAAACTGGGAGAGAGCTCTTTTTCTGGCACCCTTTTTAAACCCTTTCCCCTAAAAGGGCCCCCCAAGACTTTTCACTGTCTGTTGCCAACCTGGTTTGCAAAAACTTGTTAGGGGATGTTTCTCCTAAAGTTTTTCCTCTTACCCCCATTAAAAATTTTAAATTTTCTGAAAAAGGGCCCTTCTTAACTCTCTTCCTCCTCCTCTGCAGCAAGATTTTGAGCTGCGATGTTTGCTTTTCCTGGAAGCTCTTGCACCCTAGTGGTGAGCTCTTCATTGTGGTTTTCCCCAATTCTTCCACATCCTCCAAACTCACATCCAACCCCAGGGAAACCCCCAGGCCCAAAATTGTTTTCCAAAAAAGAATAGGCTATTAGGGTCAGCCCCAAATCCTTCAAATCCCTCTTGCGCACTTTGGCCAAAATTTTCTCCGGGCAGAGCAAAGCCCGGTAGTCACTCCCCCCCAAAGCCATACAAAAAGGGGTTACAGTGGGGATGCTAAATGTTCCCCCAAAAATTCCCTTAGGGTCAAGTGATTCTGTGGCACAGTCAAGCACCTTAAACATTCTTTTGTGTAATTTTTTTTAAAGTTTGCAAAAACCCTGCGGTCATGGGTTGGAGGAGGGAGTGGTATTCGGGGGCAAGAACTTTACGTGGAACCCAAACTCCTCGAAAATTAGGTCACCCCAAGTTTTGGAGGATGAGCGGTGCTTTGTCCATTACTGCATGCACTTGAGACCAATTTCTTTCCAGAGATACCCCTTTCACACTAGGGCCCAAAAACTTCATTGAACCCCTCGACGAAAATTTCCCTCTGACCATGCCTTCATTAGATTTCCAAAACACACACAATTTCTCTTTTAACATTGTTTTTTCCCAACACTCTGGGGTTTTCTGAAGTCTCTTTTAAGTCTCCCCTACATTAGCGCAGAACATTCGTCAGCCGTCTTTCATCTTTCCTGGCATTGCTTTTTTCCTCTTTTGTAATGAAGGGCCTCTTTGGCATTTTCTTCCAAAAAGGCCTGTTTCGTCACAATTGAACACTTTTCAGGTTTTAGTCCCTTCAGCCTTATGTACTCTGGGAAATTTATCCATATTTTTTTAGCCGCCTTGTGGGCCTAACTGGCAGCTTCACCTGCCCTTACCAAAACTGTGTAGCCAGTACGGTTTTTAAAACTCTCAAACCGCCCTTTTCTGGCCTTAAATCCCCTCATTCACCATATTTGCAGGCAATTTCTTTCCAAATCTTCATGCAACTGCCTAGCCTTTTCACAATAAACAAATCTAAGAGTACTCCTCTAATTGTTTTTCATTTATCCACACCAAAATAATTCTCACCCTTCCCGTACTGGGGATCCTTTTTTGTCAGCATAGTTACTCCCTTTGCAACAAAACGCACCTTATTTCATTTTTTTTTGGGCCCCTATGGAAAATGGTTTTGTAGGGTTTCTTATACATCCTGGACGTTTTGGCCACACTTGTACCACTTTTATATTGTTCAATGTGGTTTTCTTAAAACAATAGTATTCTCACCTTTTTACCACAGGGTTGGCACTAGGACTTTTTTTGAGCCATGGGACTTATTTTTGACTTGCAAGACAAAATAAATGGAAAATTATGAAATATTTCGCTGGGACGTGAGTGGACCTTCTACGGTAAAAAGCCAGCTGGCTGCCGCCCTGGCCCCAACCGGCTACGTGTCCTGGGGAACTACGACTCGCGAGTCAACATTGAAAGCGAGTCCATGTTTATACGAAAATACCCCTATGATTGGCGAATTTTACGATTGCCAGGAACTACGAAAAGCGGGGGACCACTGTATATTGAACGTATGGAATTACTGATAGAAATAGGACATTGCATATTAGTGACGTCACACGAAGTGTGGGAAGCTAGTAATAATACAGTGGACCCCCGGTTAACGAACTTTTTTCATTCCAGTAGTATGTTCAGGTGCCAGTACTGACCGAATTTTTTCCCATAAGGAATATTGTGAAGTAGATTAGTCCATTTCAGACCCCCAAACATACACGTACAAACACACTTACATAAATACACTTACATAATTGGTCGCATTTGGAGGTGATCGTTAAGCGGGGGTCCACTGTAATATTAGGAATGAGTACAGCAGAATTAGAGTTTACAATATTGTATGGCTATTTTGAGTTACAAATACTGTACATGTACTGCATCATATGATATACATATAATGTTTTCCACTTTTTTTTCAGTTATCAGGTCGAGAGCGTGGTCAGAAGCTGATAGCGGCTGGCCGTATCATCAGAGAAAATTTGGAGGATATTTCTAAACTGGAGGCAAGTTTGGCAAAATATACTGGTCTTGGACCAGGTCTCCTGGTTTATGGCCTGATTGGCCAGGCTATTAGCAAGAAGTTCATCATAACCATCACAACCTAGCTGATCAGGTGCTTCTTAAAGGAACGTGTCAGATTCCCTCTGTACTCTGGCAGCTTCCCACATATTTAAAGGGATGGTGTTAAAAAGTTTTGGGACTTTCATACATATTAAAGCAATCTCTTAGTGCTGCATTCTTGAATTTCATTAATTCCTTTTTTTTAGGTACATGACACTGGCAAGCCTATATGGGAAGCACGGGTGGACATCTCATCTTGTGCTGATGCTCTGGAGTATTATGGTGGCTTGGCTCCTGCTATCATTGGTAAGGTGACAACATTCACAGTATTATATTCCTAATTGACTGCATATTTCATTAGTCATGTAGGCTGCATAAAAAAAATTATTATTTATAGCTTTTCTCTATTTTCAGTAATTAATTGTTTTTGTTTGCTTTAGTTTGTTGTATATCAGAAAATATTTGTTTTTACTGGTCTTATATGCTTATTTGTTTTCACTTATGTTTTACATCTGGTAGAGATTATAATCTTAAAAGATAGCTAATTGACATAATTGTATTTTAGGAAAAAAACAACCCTTCAAGGAGGTGGTCTTGAATCTTGTTGTTGGTGAAGGACTCTTGATCTGAGAGGTTCAATTTTCATTCCATAGTTAAAAACTGATTGTCTCTCATCTCCCAAGTACTTTGTAACCCTAATGTGTTTACACTTTCCTGTGGCAGTAATAATGTTCTGTTTTTTATTGAAGGTCAGCATGTCCCATTGCATGGAGGTTCCTTTGCAATGGTGCAACGGCAGCCACTTGGGGTAATTGCAGGTATTGGCGCCTGGAACTTCCCAATGCAAACCTGTGTGTGGAAGGTGAACATTTACCTGTCTTTTTTCTTTTTCTTAATACTTGGCTTCATGGCACTGAGGCAGGGGGACCCAAAGAAGGAAACACATTCACTTAACATTTGTTTTTGTCTACATTTAATTTTAAAGTTTTTTATGTAAAGAGAATCATACTCAAGAACATTTTAATGAGGTTCTTTAAGCCAGTCTTAATTATCTTATAACTTGGATGCTGTATATATCTTGACCAGTTTTGTACGATCTGAAAGTTGTTTAGTGATGTACAGTAAACCCTCAGTATTAAAGACTAATACAGGGAGATTGTCAAAGTGTCTGTTAAATCAGAATAATGTTAACAGTAGCAATAAAATACAATAAGATACTCTACTGTATACTTAATATAGTACTGTACATACAGTTTAGTGTTGGTGGGTGGTAAGTTGTTGTTGGTTGTTTGTTGTCATTAGGGCCCTGGGACTTGCCTAAAATATGCAACACCTACTCCCTACCCAATACTTACCTCTTCTTATCCCCCTATATATTCTGCTGCTTATAATTGTACAGCCTCTCCTCACTTAGCGACGTACTCGTTTACTGACAATTTGGACTTATGACAGGCTCTCTGACCAGTATGCATACCTAAATAATGTATATTAGAGCTGATTTCCTCAGTTCTCTTTATTACAATATACAGTGCACTACTGTATAAACATTTAAAAATATTCCAGAAATGCTATAAATGGTGCAAAGGTGACATTAAAATAATATCAAAGATGGTTGACACAGACCCACTGCCATTATAGTACAGTGGTACCCTGAGTTTCATACAGCTCCCAACTCGAACAATTATGTAAGTGTATTATTGTTAGTGCTTTTGTAAGTGTATTTTTGGGGTTCTGAAACGGACTAATCTAATTTACATTATTCCTTAAGGGAACAAATTCGTTTGGTAACGGCACTCGAACAGCCTTCTGGAACAAATTATGGCCGAAACCTGGGGTACCACTGTATGCTCCTCATTTAGCGACGAATTCGTTTACCGACGTGGTCTTAGGAATGGAACTCTGTCGTTAAGTGAGGAGAGGCTGTACTCAGTTTAGTCTTCTTTGCTTCTGCATGTATTTCATTGCTTCATTATGGTGGTGCATAGGTGTCATTCGCAGTGATTCACTTTGTTGTTATATATTGTTTTTCTACCAGCTCACTCATCTCCCCTGCACCAGGGCAGCTATGGGGTTCTAATCAGAATTTACACTTGTCTTTCTTGTTCTTCATGATGGTGATGTCCATTCAAGTTATTCTTCATGACGGTGATGTCCATTCAAGTTGCCCCATCCACAGGACTTGTGGAATTGATAAGCTTTGAGTTTTGTATGTCAGTGGCTTGGGATTCATCCTACACAGGCTTTCCTTGAGACAGCTCCTCCATTGCACCTCTGGAGCCAAACAAAAATTATAGGAAAATTGCCCTTGGAGGAAAAAAACATCACCAATGGGATCCCACAAGGATCTGTGCTTGCCCTGATAGTGTTTTCAGTTTTTTTTACACTCCAGCTGTCCCCCAAAAGCACCAATATCACAGTGAATATAGGAAACAGTAAGGTGATGAGGATAAAAACATTAGGTAATGAAAGACTGGATATCAGCTTGGAGGGAGAGAGTATGGATGTAAATATATTCAGATATTTGGGAGTGGATGTGTCAGCAGATAGGTCTATGAAAGATGAGGTAAATCATAGAATTGATGAGGGAAAAAAAGGTGAGTGGTGCACTGAGGAGTTTGTGGAGACAAAGAACTTTATGCATGGAAGCAAAGACGTAAATGTATGAGAGTATAGTTATACCAATGCTCTTATATGGGTGTGAATCATGGGTGGTGAATGTTGCAACAAGGAGAAGACTGGAGGCAGTGGCTGAAGAGGGGTTGAGGTCGTTTGGACGTGTAGAGAGGATGGAATGGAATAGAATGACTTTGAGAGTGTATAATTCTGTATTGGAGGGAAGGTGGGGTAGGGGTCAACCTAGGAAAGGTTGGAAGGAGGTGGTAAAGGAGATTTTGTGTGTGAGGGGCTTGGACTTCCAGCAGGCATGTGTGAACATGTTAGATAGGAGCAAATGGAGACAAATGGTTTTTAGGACTTGACAAGCTGTTGGAGTGTGAGCAAGGTAACATGAAGGGATTCAGGGAAACTGGTAAGCTGCACTTGAGTCCTGGAGATGGGAAGTACAGTGCCTTCACTCTGAAAGAGGGATGTTAATGTTGCAGTTTTATAACTGTAGTGCAAGTGTGCCTCTGGCAAGACAGTGATGGAGTGAATGATGAAAATTTTTCTTTTTTTTGGGGGGCCACCCTACCTTTGTGGGAAACAGCTGATGTGTTAATATCATGTGGGGTTCAAACACGTGGATAGGGTAAAGTAATACGTAGGGTGGTAGTACGTATATTACGGATAATGTGGGTAGCGCCAAACAGCCGGCCTGCCTCCTTGCTCACTCTCGTATAACTGACCGCCCACAGTACCCATATGTGAGGGGGTCTTTGAATACTGCTGTGGTCAGCACAATATGAATACAGACAGTGACTCAGGCAGAGACGGTTGGTAGTGAGTCATCTACTGGTACACTGGTTACTGGTAACTGGTTACTACTACTGAGAGCTCGGCGACGCTAACGTATGTTGTCCCGACATACAACTAATACAAACTAGAGATGGCAGGTATACGGCTTGGGCTGATTCTATACAATGTCAAAGTACACAACAATTGAACATTATAACATACATAAGTAGAACATTGGAATGGAAGCTTACGTAACTGAAACTGTAATGCAATACAAGGTATAATATAGCACAACTCATCAAATGAAACTCATTGAATGAAACTCAACGTTGAGATTACAAGTGATAAAAAAAAATTTGATCGATCGATCTGTATTAGGAGGCAGGCCGGCTGTTTGGCGCTACCCACATTATCCGTAATATACGTACTACCAGCCTACGTGAGTATTACTTTACCCTATCCACGTGTTCGAACCCCACATGATATTAATAAAAGAAAGTCACCGTTCGGATGACCTTCCAAACTGCAGCATCCCCACTGTTAAGCTTTTAACTGGCTCTTAACCCTTTCAGGGTCGAGAGGCCCTCTCCTAGACTTGTTCTCGGTTGAAAATTTTTCAAAAAAAAAAAATTATTTTTTCTTTTGAAAGGAAAGAGAATCTTTTTCCAATCATAATGACACCAAAAGTATAAAATTTAATGGAAAACTTACGGAATTATAGTCTCGCAAAGTTAGTGGTCTTGACGATGTTTACGCATCGGCGATTTTGCCCACTTTTAGCCCTATTTTCGGCCAATTCCAATGTACCAGTCAACAAAAATCATAACTATTTCGTTAGAACTCCACTTGTTTTATCGAATGAGTACAAGAACCCATCCATTTACTGATTTCAACTATCCAATAAAGTGGTTAGAAATTGGCAATTTTGCCTGTTTCACATAAATATCAAAAGATGCCAATTTCCAATTAGGTTCCAGAATAAACAAGACAGACATTCCTGGCACTAAAATAACATTTTCTCTGTTCATATGTCATGTCCCCACGCCCCTCTTACATTTCTTTTGCGTTCCACTTTGAATTTTTATTCTTACAAAAAAATAGAAGATTTACTGTTATGCAGACTATTGCATAGGGTAGAAATGGTATAAATAATATCAGCGCACTTGTGAAAGAATATTAGACTCACCAGTTGACGTGTATTGGATGCATGGCATGATTTGTTTACTTTTGAACTTTGGCAAAAATCGAACATTTCTGCTACTTTGAGCTCAGTATCAAGGTACTTTTCATTGTGAAACCAATCATAATCTTCTCAAATTCTGTAATATGTCTTCCATTCTATAAAATGAGACCAGGAAAACTAGAATACAACCATAAATACCATATGAAAATACACTGCAAAATTGCTGTTTTAAACCAAAAACACGGTCGGAGTTTTTTTTTTCTCATTATGTACTGTGTACTGCAGGATTTCTTTTATACTGTGCATACTGACCACATAGACCCATTCTTTCATATATAAGTCTCCCAGCTTTCTTTCGCTAAATTTGAAGGCGCGAATTAATGCGTACTAGTACGGCACCAACCCTGGCGTGAAAGCCGTACTAGTATGGTACCAACCCTGAAAGGGTTAAAGGGTAAATGACCTGTCTAGTCTAAGGGCATTTATATTATTTAAAATAGAATAAGAAACCACTCTTGGGCCATCTTGTACCTTCACATTAACTGTGGAGACAGTATTAAATTTATTGTAAGGAATGACACGAAGACTCACCTATACAAATATATATACTATATATTTTTTTTTTCAACAAACCGGCTGTATCCCACCAAGGCAGGGTGGCCCAAAAAGAAAAACAAAACTTTTAAATGTACATATATGTATAAGTAAAAACACTGCACTAGCCAAGGACTCGAACCCATGCTGCTTTGGCCTGCCTCATGGTGGGCGAAAACATATGATGCCCTAATCCACTGGACCATACGATCCTTAAGAGTAGCGCATCCAGTGGAACTGGATGTTGTACTCACTACCCAAGGACAGTGTCCAAGAAATTTTGAAAAGAAAAAAAAATTATTTTTTCTTACAGAATTAAAGAGTATATTTTCGTGAAGGTAATCTTTTCTTTCAACACACCGGCCATATCCCACGAAGGTTTCTCTTTTAAATTTAGTAATTTATACGGGAGAAGGGGCTACTAGCCCCTTGCTCCCGGCATTTTAGTTGCCTCTTACGACACGCATGGCTTACGGAGGAAGAATTCTGTTCCACTTCCCCATGGAGTTGTGAAGGTAATAAGACAAAAAAAAAATTTCTGATCAGTACTTACCGAGATACAGTGCCGAGAAGTTGACCCAAAATGACGTGGTGGCGGCAACATACGCGCATTACTTTATTTAATGTTTTTTGTAGTTTTTTCTTTTCTTTTCTAATTTTTTTCTTTTCCTACTAACATTTGGGGCCTGAGA